GATTGCGTCCGTTAAGTTATGAGATTTTGTGTTTTTTCTCTCTCTTTTTCGTATCAGATTCTCCTTCAGTATTGTTTTTTTATGTCTGATAAGTTTTATAGGAAATATAAGGGATATTATATTCCTAATAGGGCTCAAATTTTCATTCCCAATATAATCCATATTTCAATTTACAATTATATTTTTCTTTAAATTAATATTCTTAAAGAAATACAAGTTCACATAGAAACGTGTAGAAAATCGAGTCATAATAGTCCAACACTTATACCTAAGAAACCAAGTTGTTAAGGTTCCACTGTGTTTGAAACATGAATATAATGAAGAGAGCATTTAAAATTATTAGTCTACTATTATTTGTATTTGTTAAAGTGATTTCCAATGCATCACTGATCAACTGATTAAGTATGAATGAATTGGGCAGATGAGGACATTCAAACAAAACAATAATAATAGGGGGTAAATTATTATTTCAAATACTAATTGAGAAAAATTGCTATTCAAGGGGAGGAAAATTTCTTGAACTCTTGGTTAAAAACAAGCTGATTCATCTATCCATGCTCAAGTCTGGGCTTTGTCATGGGCCTTTCCGAGTGGTGCTATTAGCACACTACGTATTAACTAAACAACCCGCACCTCCTTTTTCAAGTAAGGTTAAATAAGAAGGCAAACAACATTTAATCAGTATGGGGGACTTTTAGCACTTCATTGTTCCATAAAACAAATCTCTCCTTTAGTTTTATCAATCACAATTTCAAATATCTTGGCTCTAAAGAGATTTTCATTTCTACCTGGGATACCAAAATAAATAAATAAATATTTTTGTGATAGAGAATATGTTTGTTGATAGTTTTGTAGAAGTGTAAGAAAAAAAGAAAGAAAATTATACTAAAGAATAGTTTTTTTATTTAAATCACTTTAGTTTTTATAGGATGAATACAAATTGTAAAGTTACAATTTTACCCTTACTTAAAATAGAAGTGGGGGCTTTTTAGTTAAAAAGTGGGGTTCCAAGAGTAATGTTATACGTACAAACTAATTATACAAACTATTCCTTACAAATTGGTTTAATAACTATGCATGTTTGACATGTCATCTATTCTAATTGTTTAAATTATCTCTAATTTAAATTCATTCAATCACATTAAAACACATCATTTTGTGTGGATGAGTTTGTGTGAGGAGTTTATATATATGGTATTATTCGGGTTCCAATAGCACTACTTCTCTAAATATTCACTTTCATTATGCATAATTTGATATAATGCAAGGTATATACATTACACTTACAAAGACTATGCAAAGTCCTTCATAGAAAGTGGCATGTCAAAATATGATTGGATGAGTTAATATAAAAATTATTCGCTATCATTTAACATAAATTGTTTCGAGTGTGGAAACCTAAATTAACAATAGTTAATTCTTATTAGTAAATTCCACCTAAAAGATTTTAACTTCATTGCATTAATTGTTTCCACCTGAACGCCTCTTGGCATTGGGGTTGCTAACCAAACTACTAAATTTGATACAACACATGGTAAATAGTGATGAAAGAGGATAATTTTTGTAACATTAATTAATATACGAGAAACATTACATTTAATTGATGAAAGATCAAAACTGTGCGAGAAAAGCAACCTCTTGAATATTGACTTCAAATTCAATATTACTCCTAAAAAGAGTGGGAATTTTTGTTGACATAAAGAAACAAGAAATCAATGAATTTCTTAATTTTGAGATTTTTATCATTTTGAATTTATTTTGACACTATAGCGATAATGTCGGGTATTATACGCAGAATGAGTGATTATCTATCAATTTGAATAGAAGAGTTTGTATGTATAAAAACTAATAAAACGTAAATTAACTTTCATTGATTATTAGTATTATATTCTTTATTTGTTGATTTGAAACTTTTCTTTATATGTTTCTTTCTAACTATGGTCATATTTTCTTTTAAGTTACAATTCCTTCCATTCATCTTATTGTCAAAAGATAATTTCATTTGTAACTTACAATTAATGCAAATGAATTAACCCAGATATTCTAGAAGCATAGAAATTCTTGATATATAACTTTATTTACGGATTCTATTATCAAAACCCATTTAAAAAGTTAAAAAGAAAGAAAATCAAGCTCTCTAGTAGAGATTGCAATCTCGAATGATACAAAACAAATCTAAGTATGTATTTTGAATAATTCATTGATAGACGGACCAAATTCATATTTGAAGATGATTTGTTAACTGCCTTTGCTCAATTTTAAATAGATTATTACAAAATATGTTCAGAGTAAAGCCAATTTCTTAATTTATTACATTTTAATAATGAACGTACTCGATTACTTCCATTAGGTTTGTTGTAATAAACTCACGTAATGATATATAACTAAAATATTAAATTAATATGAAATATATGTTAACAAATGAAATGCAAAGTTATTGACATAGAGTACTTATAGAGGAAAAGTAAAGTTACGTGGCAAAAATCACAAAATATTTCAAAAACAATAGTGAAAGGATTCTACATTGTTAGCAACGTTAATGCATAATCAAAAGTTAGGAAGGGTTATCCTGTTATTAATGGTGCTTTGTAATGCAGTTTAAGTTAAGCAAAGCATAACTAAAGAAATTAATTTCCATAATCAAATAATATTTTATAGCCTGGTCCTGCTTTTTTCTTTTAATTATATATTAATATTTTGATTTTATTCTTACTTTAGCCACAGATATTTAGTTACTTTTGGAATTTTTGTCTAGGTAGTATCTCATACTTGACTATCTCTCTCACTGCAAGAATGAATGCTTTGGCAATAAACCTGCTTACCTCCATTGCGTTAATTTGACGAAGGATAAAATCAAGTATAGATCACGCTATCCCATTCTAACCCTTTTTTTTTTTTTTTTTTTTTTTTCCTTTTTTTTATAATTCTTTTTTTTTCAGTTCACGGTAAGTATTTATAAGCCCATTCCAACTTTTTCTTTTTCTTCTTTTTGAATAATACTTTTCTTGTCAGTTTAGGAGAAGAAAAATATAATTCCATTCCCATGGATGAAGTTATTCTGTAGGCATGCTGCATTATTTAATTCTCTGCACCTGCATGCATGCAGTTCGTTTAATTGGTCTCTTACTTCTTCAAAGTCAGTTCTTAAAATATTGAAATACATCAACTTTTTGGTTCCACAGGCAATAACATCACCCTCATCTAATCTACTTGCAGTAGCATCCCAAGTACTTGAGGTACAACTGTTTTTATTTTTTTATTTTTTTTATTTTTTTAATTAAGTAAGCTAGTATTAAAATAATAATCATAAAAAAAAAAAAAAAAAAAAATTTGTCCATATGGCTAGCAACCATCGTTGTAGTTTATTCTGTACGTGAAATTGGTTAGTTTAATTGGTCTCTTACTTATTCTTCAAAGTCACGTTATAATTTTGGATTACCTTGAAATTTAAATGAATTATTTATTAATTTTTATTTATTTTGTTTATGAGTAATAAAGGTCAAAACGGATCAAATTACATTTTAAATGGACTGTACGTGATGTTGGGGGAACATTGTTCTCTTGTCAAATTTTGTGCAGCTCCCCAAACATTCACTCTAAAATCAAACATTCACTCTATTAGCCTAGTTTTCCTTTTTTGTTTTTTTTTTAATCTTTTTGAATAATTGTTCTCTTGCCAGTTTAGGATATGTGTTTAGGGTGTACGTGTTTGGCGCACAATGCTACCCTAGATAATTTTATGGGATTGGATTAAAATAATGAATAGCTATAGGTTGAATTATATTTAAAACTGCAAACATCATTTGAATAGATCCGTGGGGGGCCACGGGTTTCTTTTTGTATTTATTGTTTGGACTAAAAAGAATTTAGTCCCCAACTTCATATAATCCAAAGTTGTTCCAAACATGGGATTAAAAGCCCTAATTTATTAAGTTATAATATATGATTCCATCCTCCTAGCAGAAGTTATTTTTTAGGCATTTTACGTTATTTATTTAATTTAATTATCCGCAAGCTTGTCTTTTGCTTTTTCTTTAAAGCCAGATATTAATGTAATGACTAAATCAAACTTTCTGGTTTGGCATCCCAAGTTCTCAGCTAGGTTCAAAACACAGACATATAACAAATTTCTCTTGTAGACATCCTAATTTTTCTGAAAACCAGACTTTTTGAACTCTATTGAACAACAGTTAACTCTTAATTATTAGCAAAAATTAAATCATCACATATAAAGCTTTAACCACTGGGTTTGTTGACTTGTAGTGTGTTCAAGGACCAAACTTGAATCTTCACTAGTACGTGAAATAGAGTTAACCTCGTGAAAGAATTTAAATCTGAATTTTAAGTTGTACACATATAGAATTATATATATAATAAACATGCACTTGCAATAAAATAGATATAAAGATCTGAAATATAGAAACCATTTTTCTTTTTCAATTTTGTTTAACAAGTATTGCGCTCATAATTATAGCCAAAAGAATAATTTACACACATTTAGTCTCCGTGAGGAAACCTACGTATAGATGCACGTTTGTCTGTAGAACTATGCAAAAGTCTACAGTGATGATACAATGAATCATCACAAGTCTAGTATAGTTTATCAGCATTACTTCATTTGTAATTTTTTCTTAAAAGATTTTATGTTGCCTACAGTCGTATCGTCGGAAAGAAGAGATGGCTTTGCAATATTCTTTTACAGAACATATGATCAAACTTTGGGATGAATGGGAAATTCGAGTTTTGGTTTTACTAAGCCTTTTTGTACAAATCATCCTCATCATATTCGGTTCTAAAAGAAAATATACTAGAAGAATGTGGATCAATCTCCTTGTATGGTTAGCATACTTAACAGCAGACATGTTAGCAACAATAGCTCTCGGTTGTCTAGCCCGCAGCCGAAGAGATTCTGCAGCTGATAGTGTTTTAAAGCTCCAAGCATTTTGGGCACCTTTCCTTCTGCTGCAGCTTGGTGGCCACGATCCTATCACAGCTTACGCCTTAAATGATAACGAGTTTTGGCTAAGACACTCTCTTCAGTTTGTGTTCCAAGTAATGGTAGCATTTTATGTCTTTATACCATCCTGGAAAAACAAAGATGCCGTCAGATTTATAGCCATTCCAGTGTTTATCGCTGGAATAATTAAGTATGGAGAGAGAATATTGGTGCTTAACTCTTCAAGCTCCAAGCAATTTAAAGATTCCTTGCGTTCACCTCGTGATTTTTCTCATGATCCTCTAAACCTAGAGAATCATGAGAAAAAAGAAGAGTATGAAAAGAAGTCAACTGAAGAGGTAAATAATTACTTCATCGAAGCTGTTTCCTTGTTCAAAAAATTCAGGTGTCTCTATGCCGATTTAATTCTCGATCATGATGAAAGAAAAGAAAGTTACTCTCTTCTCAGTGAGAAGTCAGCCAAACAAGCCTTCAAATTGGTAGCAATTGAGCTTGGATTCATGTATGATGTCCTCTAAACAAAGACAACCACAATTTATTCCGTGTTCGGTATCATTCTCCGTTGCATCTGTCTGCTCTCCCATATTTTTGTATCAGTTATCTTCTTAATCTTTATTGACAAGTCTTCGTATTCATCAAGTGACATCTCCATAACTTATGTACTACTAGTTGGAGCATCCATTGAAATAAGTACAGTTTGCAAGGCTTTACTTAAAGAATCAGCACGGGATCTTAACAGTATGGATAAAGGAAATTCTCTGTCGGTATTAGTTGATGGATGTAAGCTCGCCAAGCAATTGCAGACTTTGAACAGAGGTGATGGTGGGAGGAATAGTAAATGGGAGGTGATAAGTGAAGTGTGGCTGGAAATGTTGGGACATGCTGCAAGTCATTGTGTATGGAAAGAGCATGGAGAACAACTTATGAACGGTGGAGAGTTACTTGCTTCTAGGAGGATTACAGTCTTTGAAGTCTTTGATCTCTATGATATTTTTTGTGATTTTCCAGATATTTTTCGTGATTTTCCAGATATTTGCCGTGATTTTCGCAATTTGTGTGGTAAGTCTCTCTCTCTCTCTCTCTCTATTTATCGCTATCTCTGTCTGTCTCTTTGTATTTATGATTCTCTCTCTCTCTCTCTCTCTCTGTATTTATCGCTCTATCTCTGGCGCTCTCTCTGTAATTAACACCTTCTACATGTCCAATGTCTTGCATATCTTGCGTGGTGGGCCACCTCTGGTAATGATTTATCATTTATGCTATGTTATCATTGGGTTTTGGTAGATGATATTTGTTGAATTATTTTATTATATGTCACTCTCTCTCTCTCTCTCTCTCTCTCTCTCTCTCTTTCTGTGTGCGTATTTATCACTTTCCACATGTCCAATGTAGTGGCATATTGTGCGTGGTGTTTGGCTTCCTCTGCCCCTCCGAACCGCTGCTTCTGCTGCGGAAACTACTGTTGCAGCCGCTGTCTTCATTATGCACTTTAAAGAAAAATCCCTTACTCTGGGTGCTATCTTTATTATCCGTAAGCTATAATTTTATTATATATTTTGTGAGTTTGCATCTAGTTACAAGATTTGAAATGATTAAATACCATTTATAATGAGTTGTAGTATGCATTGAATGATTAGACGAACAAATTCGTTAAACTAAAATCGATTGTTATATTATAAGTTTTATAAGATATTAAAGTCATTGAGATCGATTTTTCTGGTATTATAGTTAATATTCTTTTAAATCTCATAGTCTTAGAGACACCATTGACTGTCTAATGATAGTTTTAATTGTTTTTTCAGAAGGCACCTTTAATTTATTGATTATTTTTAATTTGGTAACATCCATTGTTATTGAGGGGTTACAATGATATTGTATGAAATCAAATGTACTAGTGTTTAATTATGTTTTATGTTCTTTTGGTGGAGATATATTACTTTGGATTTTATCTAAGTAATAAAGTGAGAATTGGTCTACTAGGGAGACTTAATTCATTAGAATCGTTCGAAAAAAATGTTAAAATCAAACCGATAACTGGAATGAAAAACCGATTTTTTTTTTAAATCAGTTCATTTTTATTTAGAAAAATATAAAAACTAAATTTTCGGTTTAATTACTGATTTAGGGTTATTTTATAATTGGTTAACCAAAACCGAACTAATTTTCAATTAAAATTTTAAAAAGTAAAAACCTAAATCCCATAATCCAAATCCAATTCTATTTCTCTTTTTCTTTTCTTTGTTCTTCACTTCACTCTTCATCTTCAGTACACGTTTCTCCTCTCATTTCTCACGTTCACTTTCACTTTCTCCTCTCATTTCATCGTCAATCCTCTGCTTCTCCGTCTTCCGTCACTCTCATTTCTCTTTGGTGTGTGCAGATTTTTGTCCTCTCATTCTCATTCCGCTTTTCTCTACAGATTTTTGCCCCCTCTTCTCATTTCTCTCTTCTCTTCTCCTCTCATTCTTTTGAGTTCTTATAACTATTTTTGTGCAGATTTTTCTACTTTTTTTCTTTCTCTTGTCAATTTGGAAAATTTGCTTAACCTTGTGTGAAGTTTTATTTTTTCGTGTTTAAATAACCTTGTGTGAAGTTCTTATGTTGCAAGAAAATTGATTGTTGATTTTGAGATTGATATCGTCTTATTTTCTGAGAGTAGTAGCAAGGAAAAAGAAACTTTATAAACAAAGCAAGAATCACAGATTTTCTCCTCTGGTTTCTTTTACGTGAAGAAGGGATTGGTTTTGGGAAACCCGTTAACCGGAAAAGCGGTTAACTGCAAAACCAGTTTTCCTTAAAATAGGTTCCGTTTCGATTCAGGCATTTCCGTAAACTGAAAAACTGGTTTGGTTTAGAAAAGGGAAATCTAGACCGGTTAACCGGTTTTGAACATCCCTGTAAGTGATTGTCTTATTCCCGTTTAACAAACATTCTTCTTTAATTTTGAGGCTATGATTTAAAAAAATATAAGAAATATTTATTATGGGAAAAATATTTTATTGAATTTTTGTTTTAAAAAATAATTGTTTAATCTAGGGAATGTTAGCCTAGATTTTATGGGGCCAGAGTTGATCTTGGTCAATTTTCTAACAAAAACCGTTAAGTAAAAGATTAGTGGTTTATACGTCGAGGGAGAGGACTATGTCCGGTTATGTAAAAGATTAGTGGTTTATTCGTCCGGAGAGGACCATGTCAGGTATAAGGCAAGAGTGATGATAACTACACCTATTTGAGTGTCCATATATTTGATGTTGGAAAAAGCTATACCAACCGCAAGGCAACTTACAGAGTTCGTCAACTTGAAGAACTATCTGGAGGAAGTCGTCAACGAATCCGATTGGACGGTTTGTGAACTATTTTTTTTGTTTCTTAAAGTTTTTTATGATTCCACTAATTTATTAAATGATATTTATTATCCTATTATTAATGTAGCATTAGATGTTTTACTTCGAATTTTTACAACTTTTGTTACATATAGATATAATGAAGATTTACGCGACATTTTTGTTCCAATGGAAAAAAAAAAATACCAGATATATTGGTTGATATTTCATTCTTATATGGATAAGGTCTTATTGTAGATCCTAGATTTATATTAAGCGTATTTAATTTTACGATTGCTAAGATAGGTCATAATTTACAATATGACTATAGTTCTTATTTAATAAACTTTAACAGAAAATTGGATAGCCTTTTTTCTTTGTATCAGACTAGGCACATTGGAGCATCCAGCGCCAGCAAAGACGAACAGCAAGACCCTGATGAAGACCAAGGATGACAAGGAACGAGCAACTGGAGGTTTGTGGAATGCAGCAATGGTGGTGGTGTAAGTAGTAGTTCATACAGACAACTTGGACCAAATGAGCTGCATCAATACCTACAAATAGACATATCCTACATGACCACGAAGGAGAAGCGTAAGATGAATGTGCTTTAATGATGGTACCACAATGCAAGTCAATTCCCTATAGTAGCCCAAATGGCATGTGACATTTTATCTGTGCCAGTTTCGACAATTGCATCCGAGTAAGTATTCTCAATTAATGGTCACATTGTTGAAAAGAGAACATGTTTTTTAACCAATAAGATGGTTAAAGTCATAACATGTTTACGAGATTGGACTCATGTGGACAGAAGAAATCAGCAGCACCCTGAAGATCTCGAACTACTCAACCTCTTCAAAAACATAAATATGTAGGATGTAAATATTATTGATGATGTAAATTAATAATTTAATAAAATCAAATTTATTTAATTTTTTATTTGTGAAGTGTGATTGTGTGAATATTATATTTATGTTAAACCTTAAAATTGAATTATTATTATCTCCTTAAAGTTTAAATTAAAAACATTCCAAATTTATAACCAATTAAGAATTAAGTCATTATTCATTAACATTTAATCATTCATTTATATTTAATTATTAATTAATTAATTAATTAAAAAATTTACAAATTACCCCTAAAAATTACATTAAAGCCCCTATGTAATTTTGATTAATCCCTAGATAGATAAAAAAATATAGAGGCTAAATAAAATTATTTAGACCCATGGGACTGGTCCCTAGACCAGTCCTATGGGCTTAGGACCCGTCTGATCCATAATATTTTTCATGGGCTATTGGTCCTAGACCCATGAAAGACTGATCCTAACTAGGCCTAGACCCAGGACCTGTCGGGTTCGGTCCGGCCCATCTTTACATGAATATAACTAAGAGAGCATTTATAATTATTAGTCTACTTTTATTTGTATAATATAATTGTTTGACTTTGTTAAAGTGATTTCCAATGCATCACTGATCAACTAAACGGGCCCCACTTCCTTTTAAAGTAAGGTTAAATTTGTAAAAAGGCAAACAACATTTAATCAATATGGGGGACATTGAGCACTTCATTGTTTCATAAAACAAATCTCCCCTTTGTTTTGTCAATTACAATTTGCGACCTTCATCCCCAATCCTGTCTTTGCCATGCTCCTCCTCTTCAATCTCCAACCGCACTGGTAAAATAATTCTTAAACTCCGTCAATACATCTGTTGTTCCTTCCTTCTAATTTTCATGAATTATTATTAAATAATTAATTTGTGTCGTACTTTTCATAATTTATATGATGTGATTTACAAAAATTTCAAATATCTTGGCTCTAAAGATATTTGCATTTCTATCTGTGATATCAAAATAAATAAATAAATATTTTTGTGATAGAGAATATGTTTGCTGATAGTTTTGTGATAGAGAATATAGCTTTTTAATTTAAGTCAGTATAGTTTTTATAGGATGAATACAAATTGTGAAGTTACAATTTTACCCTTACTTAAAATAGAAGTGGGGGCTTTTTAGTTAAAAAGTGGGGTTCGTAATGCTACTGGTAGTGACTAATTATACAAAATATTTGTTACAAATTGATTTAATAATTATGCATGTTTGACATATCATCTATTTCAATTATTTAAATTATCTATAATTTAAATTCATTCAATCACATTAAAATGCATCGGTTTGTGTGAGTGAATTTGTATAAGAAGTTTATACATATGGTATTATTCAGGGTTCCAATAAGACTGCTCTTCTAAATATTCACCTGCATAGGGCATATAAATTTCATGATGGATTGTGAAAAATTGTAATAAACCTCATTAGTGAAAAATTTACTAATAATTAACTCATACTAGTAAATTCCACCAATTCAAACAAAGAAGGAATTAGAAACGTTCCGCCTAAAATATTTTAAATTCACTTGCATTAGTTGTTTTCCCCTAAACCTCTCTTGGTACATTGGGCTTGCTAACCAATCAGCAAAATTCGATACAACACAAGGTAAATAGTGATGAAAGTGGATAATTTTTATAACATTAATTAATATACGAGAAATATTACATTTAATTGATGAAAGATCAAAACTGTCCTAAGAAAAGCAACCTCTTGAATATTGACTTCAACTTCAGTATGTGCTCCATGAAGGTAATCTACCAAGAAATATTATTTCTGAAAAGAGTTTGGGAATTTTTTTTGACATAAAGAAACAAGAAATCAATGAATTTCTAAAACGCTTAATTTTGAGATTTTGATAATTTTGAATTTATTTTGACACTATAGCAATATTGTCGGGTATTATATGTAGGATGAGTTTGAGTGATTTTAATCAATTTGAATAAAATAGAATGTATGTATAAAAACTAATAAAACATGAACCTTTATTGATTATTAGTATTATATTCTTTATTTGTTGATTCGAAACTTTTCATCCTAACTATGGTCTCTTAACTTACAATTCTTTCCATTCATCTTCTTGTCAAAAGATAATTTCATTTGTAACTATCAATTAATGCAGATAAATTAATCTAGATATTTTAGAAGCATAAAAATTCTTGATATATAAATTTATTTACGGACTTTATTATCAAAACCCAACATTTAAAAAGTAAAAAAAGAAAGAAAACCAAGCTCTTTAGTAGACATTCCAGTCTCGAATGATAAAAAACAAATCTAAGTATGTATTTCAATAATTGATTGATAGATGAACCAAATTCATATTGAAGATGATTGTTAACTGCCTTTGCTCAATGTTAAATAGATTTTTATAAAATATGTTAAGAGTAAATCCAATTTCTTAATTTATTACATTTAAATAATGAACCTACTCGATCACTTCCAGTAGGTTTGTTGTATTATACCAATATAAACTCACGTAATGATAGTTAAAATATTAAATTAATATGAAATATATGTTAACAAATGAAATGTAATATAAAATTTGATCCTTTTTCATGATTTAAAAAAAAAAAACCTTTTTCTTTTTTAAATTTTATTAACAAAGAGTACTTAGAGAGGAAAAGTATAGTTACGAGGCAAAAATCAACAAAATATTTCAAAAACAAGAGTGAAAGGATTCTACAATGTTAATAACATTAGTGCATAATCAAAAGTTAAGAAGGGTTATCCTATTAATGGTGCTTTGTAATGCAGTGTAAGTTAAGCAAAGCATGGCTAAAGGAGAAAAAGAAATTAATTTCCATAAAGAGGAATCAAATAAAATTGTATATGCTTACATATCAACACCCTCACCACCCCACACACCACCCCCACCCACCCCCCCCCCCCCCCCCCCACCCCCCCCCCCCCCCCCCCCCCCCCCCCCCCCCCCCCCCCACTTTGTTTAACTTTCCAATCCTATTTTATTCTACTATCCTATCATAAAAAATGAAAAAAAATGTTTATTTTAATATTGTTCAAAATCCAATTCTATTTTATTCAACTCAAAACATTTAACAAATATATTTCTTAATAAAAGTTTATAAATTAACAAAAACACTCCCACCCACCCAAGTAACAGTCACCTGCCAGCAACCACTGCCGGCCGCTTGCGCCAATCTGTCTGTTTTCGGCCAGATTCACCTAGATCTAACTGAAAACGGCCAAAGCGGCACACAACTAACCATATCCAACTAGTCATATGCCATATCGACAACTTTTGCCCACCATTCGATGGTGGTGGCCAGCTTACAGCAATTAGTTAGGTTGATGGGGCTGATTTTATTAATTTATAAACTTTTATTGTAAAGGGGTGTATTTAGCTAAATTAACAAATATAGAGGATTAAAATAATCTAGATGGGGTTGATTTTATTAATTTATAAACTTTTATTGTAAAGGGGTGTGTTTAGCTAAATTAACAAAGATAGAGGATTAAAATCATCTAAATATTTTTAGAAAATATTTTTCAAAAATATAACAAACATATTCTCAAAATATTATATTTGATTAAATCATATGATACTAATCGAAGCCACACGGATTACTAGACCTTAGAGATGCTGTCAGAAACTCATGGAGTTTATGCATGTGGGAAACTATGATAGCCGACCTAAACGGAACCAATCAACACAACGATCGGTCGAAATGATGGTCAAGGCCCTTTTCTTATCCCACGCACATGTACACCCACACAACTTCTAACATCATCTAAAAGGGCTAGTGAATATTAAACAACAACATAAATGGAGAACATGAAAATAAATGAAGAACATGTACAGAAATGAAGAACAAGAACATAAATGAAAACATAAATATTAAACATGTTAAAAAACATAAATTAAAAGCATATATGGGATCTTTTGCTATCTATAACATTATCAGAGTATTACATCACCCTTGAGGTTGAGGGAAACTTAGAAATATGAAAGAAACATGGAAGAAGTATAGTAAAGATATGCAGAGAAAGTATGGAAGTGTAGAGAAAATATGGAAAATAAGAGTGAGAAAAATAAACAAAAGTGTTTACAAAGTTTACAACAAAGTTCCTCCTCCTCCCCAAGAAGGTAAAAGCTTTTTTTTTATAGAAAAAAAGGATACAACCACTCATAAAGGAGACATTAAATACAAGACTAACCTTTTTGACTTTTGGGTTTTTTTTTTTTTTTTTTTTAAACATTAAATAGCCTACAATTCTTGACAAAACATAATCTTATAATACTTGACTTTTTACAAAGGATATGGGAGATATTACATTGAAAAGGCAAATTACCATTTAGTCCACTCCTATTTTACATAAAAGACACAACTATATATTTTAAGACATGCAGATCTTTAATCGTCTGACAAGTTGGTAACGTGCCACGAGTCTTCATCCTGGAAGTCGAGACAACCCATTGATTGAATCCAATCAGCAGGGATTTGTTGGGGAGATGTATCTGGATAAGTATCCGAAAAAATGTCTAGAATCTGAGATGTTTGCTTTGCAGATGTACTGGGTGCATGCATGTATTGTTGTCGCCTGGATTTATGGAGATAGTAATTACGAGACTGCTGAAGCTCTTCTTCCTGCACAGTATCTGGCTGTGAGTCTGGGTACCACCATTCTGGATAGGTTGAATCAGTATCGAATTGAGCATTGATGGAATGTATGCATGTCTGTTTGGCTTGGAGTAATTTCTCAGTGTAGTTTGGAGGAAAGAGTTCCCACAGAGCATCATCGTGAAAAGATGACCATAATGCATCTGGAATGATTTGATTTTTTTCAAAAAGGAGTTTTTGAATTGATCTAGTTTCAACAGGATGATCAAACATATTATGGACAAGGTCATATGGATAAGACCGATGAAATGTGACTTGATGCTGAGAAAAATATAGGCCATCAGATCTGATAGAGTGATGTCTGTTAAAAAACATTATAGACCATGCCATTTTGGTAGACATAGGACCTTTGTATCGGGCAAGTTGGTGAGCAAACACAGATTTCCATTTGTCGAGGGTTTTGAACCATCGGGTTATGCCCGCCTCTTGGTCAGAAAGGCTGCCCCAGTCCGGCCCGCCAACCCTAACCTGGCGGGTTATGATGCGGGCTGGGCCGGGTTAGCCCACAATTTTTTCTTTTGTATAATTGTTTTTAGTTAACTTTGCAAATATCAATAATTCAATTCAATTCAATTTTTTTTAACATTTCAAATATTAATTCAATTTTAATACAATAATATTGTAATATAAGAAAAATTAGATTTATTCATTTATTCATTTATCAAAAAATCAAATAAGAAATTACAATAATTATTGCGTCATTAAAAACCTTACCAAGAAAAACCCAATGGGACAAAAACTTGGTAAGGAAAAAAGAGTGCAATAATTGACAATTAATTTACAAGTTACAATTTACAAAATAACTAATTTGGGGGTTGACTAGGACCTTCCTCATCCATATCATCTATACTACAAAATTGAAATGATTCTATTAAAGTATTGTCGACAATCTCGTATTGATCCTGATGACGCAACTGTTCCCAATCTCGAAGACATGTGAGAACTTCAATCATTTTTTGTGAAAGTTTAGTCTTCCTTTCATTTAAAATTCTTCCACTTGCACTAAATGTTTGTTCAGATTAGACGGTTGAGACAGGAATAGTGAAAACATCCTAGGCAAGTCTTGATAATACCGGAAAAATACATTTTCTAGTTTTCCAATATTCTAAGAGATCAAAGTTAGCTCTTTATTATGGATCTGCTAGTAACACTTCGGGGGTTCCCAAATATTGGTGAAGCTCATTACTCTATAACTGCATGGAGGACAGTACATTCATTGTTGGTGCTTCTGAAGAGGAGGTTGTGCTTCGGGTTCATGTCCTCTTCAGCCTATTAAGTGCACTGCAGGAGTCAAAGTCTTCATTTGTTTTTTCTGATGCAACTTCCCCAGGTATTTCACCTCTTTGTTGGTTCTCATACCTGTTTTCATATTGCAAATATACCTTTGCAAGACACTCTCTTACCTTTCCTATTTGATTGGTATATGCTTCGTTTTGTAAATTTTTAGTTAATGTGTCTAAACAATTTTCTAAACCTACTATATTAATTCTAGGATCAAATATAGCACCTAAACAATAAAGAAAAGGAATGGGTTTCAATATTTAAAAAAAAAAAATTTCCATTGCCTTTATTGGTCCCCCTAAAATTTCATTGTTTCTGTTTTTTCTAAATAAATTTGAAATTTTTATAATGTATGTATTACCAATGGACTAGTAGAATAATATACACCAGAAAGTTGTAAAGTAGATTGGTAAAAAAATTTAAGAAAATAATGAAATTTTTTAGCTATATGCCAATCATTTTCTACCAAATAATAAGGACATCTATTATTTACTACAAAATAACTAATTAAATTTGCATAAGGTAAACATGAATCAAGCATTAAATAAGTACTATTCCATCTAATAGCCATGTCTAATGCAAAAGTTCTAGGAGACATATTTGATTTTATATAAGCATTTTGAAATTGAGTATTTTTTTATTACTACTAGTAATCCAAGCTAAATAATCCATAATTCTATCAATATTATCTCTAATTGTTTTCATACCACTTTTCACAATTAAATTAATAATGTGACATGCACAACGTTGGTGAAAAAACTTCAAATTGTCATAAAAATGATAATTAATTTTAAAAAAATATATAGCTGTACTATTAGTACTTGCATTATCTAAAGTTAAATTTATCACTTTATTAATAACATTATAGTCTTCTAAAACTTCAACAATTTTATTATAAATTTGTTGACAACTATGATCCACATCCATTAATCTACACCCCAATAAAGATTTATTTAATTTGCATTCGTTATCAAATAATGACTAGTCACACAAATATAATCTTGTTTAACTCTACTACTCTAAATATCGGCAGTTAGAGCCACATTAACATGACAAATATGTATTTTATTTTTTAATTCTAATTTCATTTTTCCAAACAATTTTATTAAATCATTTCTAGTTGCAGTTTTAAAATAACTTTTAAATCTTGGAAAAAAATGAATTTTTAATAAATCTTTCAAAATATTTATCTTTAGCCATATTAATAAGTTGATCAGTTGCAGCAATATATAAAGTTAATTATTCCCTACATACATCAGAATTATAACGCCAAGTAGTACCCATATTAGTTATTTGAGTTTGATTGGTTTCTCTATTTCCATGTTGAGTAATATGTTTATTAGCATGCCTTTTTAAAGTACTAGTACCATTACCTGAATCAGCTTTATAAATATTTCCACAATACTTACATCTTGCTTTCTTCACTTGAACTCCATTTTCTATCTCGTAAAACTTATCGAAATGCACCCAAACGTCTAATGTGCACCTGTTGTCGGTTTCGACAGCAATTGATGAACCCGCTTCTGCTTGAGATGAAGTTGGACGAAGATGACGATTACGAGGATGACTTCTAGAGCCACCGGGAGCTATAGTAGCATAGGGAGGAATTAGGAGAATATTATAAGGTGTATCGAATTCTGAGATTGGGAAAGCGACATTATTTGAATTTACTGTAGTTATGTTAGCAAATTCAGGGGGACTAGGATAGTTGTTTCCTTCATCATCGAAAAAGATGGGATGGAAATATCTATCCATTGTAGTTAAAAAAAAAAAAAAATTAATATAGAAGAAATAAAAAAATAAAGAAGGAGAATTGGAATTTGGAAATATGAATTGAAAATTGCAAAACCTGAAAAAAATTAAAATGAGAGCAAATTGACAACAAAGAGAATAATTGAGATATCAATAGAGATTAGAGAAAATGAGAGAATTTGGGATGTGAGAAAATATGAGAGTTTAGGGTCTATTTATAGAAAAAAATGGGAAAAGAAAATGACAAAAAAGACCCCTCCAATTGCTATAAAACGACTATATTTTAAGGGTAAAAGAGGTATTTGCAAAAAAAAAAATATATATATTTTTTTAAATTTTTTTCATCCAACCCGTAGGTAAACCCGGCAGGTTGAAAACTCCCAACCCAATGGGTTGGTGAGTTTTTTTTTTTTTTTTTTTTTTTTTTTTTTTTTTTTTAAAGTAACCCACCGAGTTGCCATATAAAAACCCAGCCCACCCGGCGGGATACATGTAAGTCGAGTTCAAACCGGCCTACCTTTTAGGCAGTCTGGATTGAACCCTCCTTAATGCGGGCCGGGTTAGGGTTGACCCGTCTAACCTGGTCCATTTGTTCCACCTCTAAGGCCGAGCTTGAGTGGCTTGTGGAGGAGATGGCGGCCTTCGGGATCAAGGAAAGGGAATTCCTTGACAAAATTAAGGCGAGGTAGGCTGCTCGGGCAAAGGCTAAAGCCAAAGCGGTCGAGGTTGAGAAGAGTTTGGCACAACAATAAGGTGCCAACAATAAGCTGCACTCCGAGCTCACCTCGGCTCAAAAACTGCCTCAGATTGTGAGGCAAAATTCAAACAGGTCTCCCTTGATCTTGCCTAAGAGGTAAAAGATCAATAAAAGGCTGAGGCTGAAACTGAGCAGCTTAGGCTTGAAGTCGGTGAGCTGAACGAGGCCATCACAAACCGAGCTTGGGAGATGTCGGTCTTCGTAGTGTAGAAGTTTTGGAAAGCTCGTCCCTCGATCGACTTCTCATTTCTTCCGCAAGCTTATCAAAAGGAGGTCGATAGGATGAGGACCAAGGCTTAAGGGATGGCCTATGTTTACTCGGACAACTCTGAGCGCAACGGTGTGGGTGAGGAGGAAGTCAAGGAGGGAGAAGAGGATACAGGCATTAATCAGGAGGTCAAAGATTCGGCTCCCCTGGCTACGCTCGCACCTATTGCTGTCGACCTTCTCCGATCAAGGCTCCGAAGGATGTCTAGACTCCTAACCCTGAAAAGGCTGCCAAGACTCTTGCCGTCGAGAGTCCCTCTACCCAGGTTGGTGATGATCTCCTTAATCCTATTGACAATGATGCTGCTCCTCCAATTGCCTAGATTATTATTATTTTTTTTTTAGTTTAGTTTCTAACCAAATTTTACAATCAATGAAAGATATTTTTTTTAATATATCTGTCAAACAATTTTTTATTTCTACAGAGTCATTTCTAATTGGACTTATCATAAAAAATTTGAATTTGCTCCAAGCCTTGCGTAGCTCACTTCTTGAGAAATTTTTCAAATATGCGCGAGGAAATCTTTTGCAACAACTCTGACTTTAGACTTATTGTCTGTCTCGAGTTTTGGTCACTGGTTTATGACCGATTTCCTCCGATGTGTTTTACTTGAATTTTTCCAAGTGTAACTTTGTTGATCTGGGGAATTTCACCCTTTAATGAGTTGGATTTTGGCATGGCTTATCAAGCTAAGCTGCCTTTTTCTGAACTGTTGACTTTGACTTTTTGGATGTGATTGTGTAGATTGCGATTTTTGAAACAAAAGATAGTAAATGATGAACAAGATATTAATAGACAAAGAATGACAAACAAAGTAAAGGTCATGAATAATACCTCTTTTTATTGGTAATATTTAGGCCATAAACGACCTTATAATAAATAAATGAGAGAAAACAAAACATGATTAGAACCCGAACTGCTCATTAGTAATACCTTTGCAGATGCTCGGTGTTCCATGCTCGTAGTATGGTTTCGCCATTGAGGCGTTCCAGGTGGAAGGTTCCTAGCGTGAGCTTTTCGGAGATCCTGAACGGACCCATTTGGCCCCAAGTACCCTTAGATTCGAGTTTTGTGTACCTTGGACAACCTTTCTGAGGACTAGGTCACCCACTTCAAAGTCCCTATTTCTAACTTTGATATTGAAGAATCGTCTGGCTCACTATTGGTACGAGGTGAACCTTAGCTACGACTTGACTCGATGTTCTTCGATTAGGTCTAGCCTCAGGCAGAGAAGATCTTCGTTTGTTTTTTTGTTGAAGACTTCCCTCTGGAATGAACTAATCCCCACTTCCACTAGGGCCATTGCTTCACACCCGTATGATAGAGAGAACAGGGTTTCACTTGCTGAGCTTCTAGCTGTCGTTCTATAAGACAATAAGGCCTTGAGCAATTCCTCAGCCCATCTTCCCTTCAAGGTGTCGAGCTTTTTCTTAATAGTGTGCTTGATCACTTTGTTCACTGTCTCTACCTAACCATTAGCTTTAGGCTGATAGACAGTAGTGAAACTCTTCTTAATACCAAGCTGTTCGTAGAAAGACCTGAAGTCTTCACTGTCAAACTGTTTTCCATTATCGGTTATTATTGTGTAGGGGATCCCGAATCCACAAATGATGTTTTTATAGATGAAATCTTTCAACTTGTTCGATGTGATGGTAGCCCAAGGCTTAGCTTTTGCCCATTTTGTGAAGTAGTCTACAACAACCACTACGAATTTAGCACCCTATTTTCCCTAAGGTAGAGGGCCTGTCAAGTCGATGCCCCAAATTGTGAACGGCTAAGGACTTGTCAAGGTAGTTAGTTCTTGGGTGGAGCTCATGCAATATCTGCAAATCTCTAGAACTTGTCGCATTTGCGCACGTAGTCTACTGCATTGTCAAAAATTGTTGGCCAGTAGTAGCCCTAACAAAGCACCTTGTATTCTAGAGATTTTCTCCCTATGTGGATCCCACAGATGCCTTTATGGATCTCTCTCAGAACATAGTCAACGTCTTCATAGTCAACACACCGCAAGAGCGGTGAATTGTACCCGCGCTTATGTACTCTGTCGTTGATGAGCGTGCATCAAGCTAATTTTGCTCGGAGTGTTCTGGCTTCATTTCTTCCTTCAGGCACTGTTCCATCTCTTAGATGGGCGATTATTGCAACAATCCAACTGTATCTCTGCCCTATTACTAAGATTGGTTCTTAAAGAGCAAGGATGCTTGGACTTGGGAGGAATTTAATAGGTATCGAATCAATCTTCTCTTGGCTCATTGCAGAAGCTAGGCAAGCTACAACATTGGCCACTGAATTCGTCTCCCTTAGGATTTGGAAAATGGTGAAGAATTTGAACTACTCAAGCTTGGACTTCACTTGCTAGAGATAGGATTTCATTCTGTCTTCCTTTGCTTGATATTCCTCGGTAATCTAATGGACCACGAGTTGGGAGTCGCTGTAGATCTTGATGGATTCTGCCCCCATTTCTTTAGTGAGGCGGATCCCTGCAAGCATTGCTTCATACTCTACCTTGTTGTTTGAAGCAGCAAACCTAAACCTAACTGTAGCTTTGATCAGGTTCCCTTCGAGACTTTTGATGAAGAGCCCAACTCTTGCTCCCTTCTCATTTGAGGACCCGTCTACATACAGAGTCCACTGCCATAGACTATCAAGCTTTGGTTTCTGTTGTTCACTTAACTTTGAGGTGCTTGCCTCCTTTAGGCTGATAGGAGAATTCTAAAATGAAGCCTGCCAGAGCTTGACATTTTATTGCTGTTCTGAGGATGTACTTGATATCATGCTGACTCATTTTCATCGTCCATTGGATCAATCTACCCAATGCCTCAGGCTTTTGCTTAATTTTCCTCAATGGAAAGTTAGTCAACACATGTATGGAGTGTAAGTAATTGATCTACCATATGTAGCGGAAAACAAAAATTCAATCGGTAAATCAATTACCTTTCTTTTCTTAGATCCAAGTATAGATTATACTGTTTACATGTTTATAAAAAAAAAAATATGTATAAAGTAAATCCATTCAAGGATTAGAATACTTATGTACGTTAGGAGGCTCCTTCGAATATCTTTGATTTCGGACAGGAACACTGTTCACGGTATTGTTCACTGTCTACTGTTCATGTGATTTTTTGCCAATCAATCCAAAGTAGGATCGCACTCATGGAATTTCACACAAAGATAATCCGCAGAACCCTTGATCATTTTTCTAGAACAATCAAGGGCTTCAAGAATCAAGAAAAAAGAACAGGAAACTTTTTCTTCTTGAGAGAGAGAGATAGGGTGGCTAGGGTTTTAATTGAATGAATAATTCCTTATTGTTTTAATTTTAAGTTGCACTTATATAGTGCAACAATTAAAACCCTATTCCACTTAGGAATAGCCATGGGCTCCAACCCTAGTTCACCCTTGCAACCAAACACACCCTCTATGGTATTTTAATTAATCAATTATTATTATAATTAAAATCAATTAATAAATAATAATATATTAACATTTAGTTAATAATAATAATTCATTTAAATATATACATAGATGTATTTAAATATAATCTTACTAATTTAATTTTAATTTTAAAAATAAATACAGGCAACAACCTCAGAAAATTTAATTGCACTGTGAAATTATCAAAATACCCTTTCATCCTAAAAGACGAAAATACCCTTCTCACAAATTGATTCTTAAATTATCTACTAAGTGTGTGACCCGTAGGCTCCTCATCATATCGGCAGTGTGTAGTATCGCGATTAACACCAATTAATCATCTCATACACACAGACCAAGATTGGCCCCTAATAAGGCATCATAGCCACCCGTTAGATTCGTATTCAGTGAAACCGCAACTTGTCAACGGTATGGTTACTGTGCAATCAAATCATTTCATCAACTATTATCTCATCGAGACTGAGGTACAGAAATAGTGTCAACCTCAGATATCCTCGACATGTTTGTATTCAGTTACTGGACCAATGACAAGAATATTAAATTGGATTGAGTATCAATTCAATCCCACTGTGGCCACAGATTTAGTGTCATTGTCATTTACTAAATTACCCAATGAGATAACTTCTCCTGTACCCAGGAGTGATGAATCATTTATCAATCCACCATAATCTTGATACACTACTCAATATAGCCAATCACTACCGTATTGATAGCTCTGAATAGAACTACGTTGGGCTAGTGTCAAACTACACCAATTAGTGCACAAGGCGCTCCAGTGATCTCAAGTCTAAGGATCACATGCACCACTATCTGTTAAAGGATTTATTTCATAGACATTGGGATTACCATTCATATGGAATCCTCTGATGGGTCTATCGAGTGAATTTGCCTTTAGTAAGCACCCATGCGTTGCACCAGGTTGTTGGCAAATAACCTTGACAAGTGAGATCAGTCACTGTCTTTCGACAGCGTTGTTCAACACTATGATAGCCTTATCTTATTATCTATGTCCTTGGTCAGAATAATACTGGGGCTACGGACATTTCTAGAATGGCCACCATATGTGATCATAGGGTTCTCACTATCAAGATTTGAAACACTTGATACACTCATCATGGTTCTACCATCCTAAGGACATATATCATTACATACACGATATAGAAGAATATGCCTTTTATTGATAAATAAAGATTTATTACATAATCAATTTTACAATAATTGATTGGCTCTAGGGTACCTACTCTAACATGGAGTGCGCTTGAAAATAAGGTCGTAACTTCCGAGCGGTGATGATTAGTGCATAAGTGAGCTTCTCCATCTTAGGGTACCTTGTTTCAACACCAAGCAACCTCTTGCTCACTTAGTACACTAGCTAGTGCACTCTCACTTCTTCGTGTACCGAAGTTGTGCTGATCGCGGACTTAGATATCGATAAGTACATAAGCAAAGGCTCGCTCTAGATGGGCTTTAATAGCAAAAAAGTCTGCCCTAAATGCTTCTTCAACTCTTGGAATGCTTTCTCGCACTAATCTGTCTATTTGAAACTTTTATTTCCCTTTAGAGTTTCGAAGAATGGTAGGCACATGTCCGTAGCTCATGAGACAAATCTACTGAGTGCGGTCACACGTCGTGTCAAACTCTGAACCTGTCTTATGCAGGTCAGGCTTTTGATGTCTAGGAGAGTTTGAATCTTTTCTGGGTTGGCTTTGACACCCTGCTAAATTACTAGGAAGCCTAGAAACTTTCCCGAGCTTACTCTAAAAGTGCACTTCAGAGGGTTGAGCCTCATTCTATATTTTTTGAGGATGTCGAACATTTCCCTCAGGTGCTCAATGTGGCTTTCGACGACATTTGATCTGACGAGCATGTCATCGATATACACCTCCATTGTTTTGCCGATTTGCTCAACGAACATCTTGTTCATCAAACGCTAGTAGATCACACTAGCATTCTTCAAGACAAATGACATAACCTTAAAATAGTAAATACCCCAATCAGAATAAATAAGGTGTGTTCTTCATCAGGTTGATACATTGGGATTTGGTTGTATCCCGAGTATGCATCCATAAAACCGAGTACTGCATTCTCGGTTGTCACATCTACTAATTGGTTGATTCAAGGCAGTAAAAAGCTACCTTTGGTTCAAGCTTTGTTGAAGTCTATGAAGTAGATGAAAGTCTGCCACTTGCCATTCGACTTTTTCACCAGGACTGGGTTGGCAAGCCAGTTCGGGTATTTCACTTCCTTGATAAAGTTGATATTCAGGAGTTTGTCAACTCCATCCTTGAGTGCTTTAGAGTGCTCTGCATCCATAGATCTCATCTTTTGTCTGATTGGTCGAGTTGTTGGGTCGACATTCAATTTGTGGCACATTACCTC